TTTTTTTTTTTTTTTTTTTTTTTTTTTTTTTTGTCCTGACCTTTATCCAAATATCAAATGTGGGTAGTTAGCTAGGAGGGAATCTGGGCACTCACTGGTTCTGTGCCTTTCATTTGGGAATCAGGATGCAGTCTCTGCTTCAGCCCTTGTGTGTCTGGCTATGTGCCTCTCTGAGTATAGAAAAGATAGGTTTTGTGTTGCCATAGTTCCTGTTTTTGAAATAGGTAGGCTGGAAGATGGATCTGATGTATCTAGGGAAGAGTAAAAATGGAATGCCCATGAATGCAGCTTTGATGGGTGCTTGTTTCTTGGTGTGGGTTTTTTTGTTTTGTGGGGTTTTTTTGTTTGCTTTGGGTTTTGTTTGGTTTTTGGCTGTCAGTTTGGTTTTTTGGTTATTTCTTTTGCTTTGTTTTGTGATTGTAGAGAATTTATTATATTTACTTAGGTTGGGAGGTGGTGCTTTTGCTCTCTTCCCCATTCTCCTTCCCTCAATGCCTATAAGACAAGAGGGTGATTTTCTTCAGGTTCTGGGTCTAAGCTTTTATTTTACTTGAAAAGTACAATTTTCAAATGTTGAGAGTTAAAGGAAAGAAACTGAGAGTAATGCCTTGAGATTTTTTTTTTTTTTAAATTCTGAAGAGTACTTCAAAGAATAATGCTGAACTCTCTAGTTTTAAGGCTAATTTGAGTATTACATGTAATTTGAGCATCATAGAAACTCCATAGATTAATAGCATAAAATTCCATTATTAAGAAGAGTAATTCCTCACATTTCTTCTACTCACCAAAGAGTTCCTTTTTTTATAATTTACTATAAGAATATTGTTGATTTGTTTTTCTTGAATCAACTACTATGTGTAAAATCACAATAGCAGCAGTGTTTATTTGTTTTGTAAGGTAGATCTGATACATAATAAAATTAAAATGTTTTTAAGTTCCTGTTTTTTTCACAGATTATATATTAAAATGCTTCATATAAAGGAACAAATAAAATTTTATTGAATAGGATAACTTGATAAATCATATTTCAAAGGAAGGATATCTGATATTACAGAGCAAATTACTTTAGCAAATAATTGGTAAAGTTCATGTTTTTTTTTCAATTGCTTTTTTCAAGTGAAAGAACCCAATGGGAATATCATCAGACAGGCTTGGTGTCCTGAGTTCTGTTCATTTTTCATCTGATTTGATTGACATCCTAAGCAAGATATTTAACTCACCACCAGTTTACTAGTGCTTGAAAAGGAGCATAAAATGGAGGTGTTTAATTTTTCTATACACACCTGAGGTATTAGTTACTAACCCTTTAGAAAGTGTGTGCTAAGGAATTCATGGGATTTTCATTCTAATGCAATTTTAGAATAACTCCCCTTCAGTAGTAGGTGGGAAAGAGCAGCTTATTGTTTGATGGCAATTTGATAAGAATTTTCTTGGAAACAGAATACTCCAGTAATGTAATTCAGTTTTAAAGTAGGAACCTTCCTACTTTGTCAAAAACTTAATGATGAAATTATGTGAATATTAAAAAATGTGCAGAGAACATGGGTTTGGAAAGTAGTGCAGCATTGATAGCACTTGTTCCACAGATTGTTCTTGTGGAGCACTGGGTTATTCTTAGAGGAGAGCAGAGAGGAAAAAAAATCACAGAATAAACTTCTATACTGACTACTCATGAAGCAAAGTAATACTGGGATTTCCTAATTATCGGAATTAGGGTTCTTTGTCTACTATTGATGTTCTTCTTGAATATTACATAAAGCTAATTTAAATAATTGCTAATTTAAATAATTTTAAAATAAAAAAGTTTAAAAATTAACTTTTTAAGCTTAGAGCATACAGGGAAATGAAAATGAAGTTAAATACTTTCTTGTTTCCATTGCAGCTTTTCAGACAGTATCAACCCTGAACATAAGCAGGTTATAGATAGAATATTTTAAGAAACATTTTAAAATGTTTTTCCAGTTTTGTGATACCAGTTCTATGATGCTGATGATGTGAAACTCAATGATAATTACGAATAATACAATTATGCATTATAACTGATACATTAGGGAGAGAAATACTTTCTTCTTACTGTAGAAAATAAACTATTCCCACTGAAACACTGCCTCAATTAATTTATGGTTTTCTCTGTGCCTCTTGGGAATTCTGATCATGGTTCTAGTCAGGTCTTAAATAAGAGACAATTTCTGTTTATATGCTATATTCATCAAAAGTGTTAATACTTTTATTTTTGTGAACATCAGAATAGAGTGGATAGAGTTTAGAGATAGTGAAATATTGTGTAACTTCTTATCTGTTTCTTTCAAACTCTGGTACACTATACAGTATAGTATAATTCAGGGAAGTCCAGTGTGCTTTGAAAACGCACACTGATGCATTAAGTCTGATATTTGATTCTGCTCAATGCTGTAGCCTAATTCTTTTCCTACCACTTTGCTTCTTCCAGGCCATGAGACTGCTCCCACGATGGCAAAGATTTGTATGAAAGGCTTTGTTGACCACTGCAGGACTTAAATGCAAAAAGCAGAAAGCACTAGCTGGTAGCTCAGTGTGGAGCAAACATTTTATTTTAAACTTCAAAAACAATTATGTCAAAGAAAAGCCGTGCCAAGGGAGAGAAGCCCGACATGGAGACTGAAGCCCTGCAAGCTGCTAATGAGGAGCTGCGAACTAAACTGACCAACATCCAGATAGAATTCCAGCAAGAAAAAACCAAGGTATTTGTCTCTATTATGTGATCATTCTTTTAACAGTAGCACTGTTAGAAACCAGCAGAGTTTGATACTAAAATGTGTTAGTTGTAAAAGAAAAACATGACAGAGAAGTGAAATCAGAAGAACAACTGATAAACTAAAATTGGTGCTAATTCTTTTAAATAGTGTGCAAAAGGGACTAAATATCCCTAAAATTTCCAGTCACTGAAATTTGCAATCACAGCAATACAAATGGCATTAGTTTACTGACAAGGGAGTTTTGCTTTTGATCTTACTGAAAATTATATGTTGTAAAAAGAATTGTATTCGGCATCAAACATCAGCACCTTATCCAAAGCATGTCACTTTAAATGCCTATGAAGAATATCAATTAACTGGATACTGCCCGTGTAGGAGTCCTGATTTGATTTGCTGAGGTTTTGTGTGGCATTGTTCTGAGCTATTCAGTGATGCATCTGATTGCTGATGAAACAGATCCATCATTATTTTTCTATCTAGGATATGTTCAGCTGGTATTTGGGTAATCAAGAGGACACATAGGATAAACTATTATTTCATCAGATGCATTTGTATTTATGAAGATTAGCTGTTACTTTTATGTATTTCTGTAGGTCATTTAAGATATGGACAAACCAGTAAGGTTATTTCTATTCTGTTATTTATTGAAATCAGTTAGTGCATTTGACTTAGAACAAGGCAGTTCTGGAGATTAATCCATGTGCATGGTTTATTTGACTGGGGATACTGTAGTGGCAAGAGTCTCAAGAACTTACCAAGTGGAGAAAGAATGCAGTGAAAATGTGTTCTCTTTATATAAAGAATCTTTGTTCTAGCCTTTTTTCTTTTTATCAGTGTAAAATGTGGAACACCTGAATAACAACGTTTCTGTACATTCTAGTTTCTCTAACATCCTTGTGTGATACTCAGCTTTGAAAAGTCTTTTTTACATTTTAATTTACAAAGTAAACTCAAAAACCATCACAAACGTAATCTTCAGAACTTCGTTCTTACACAGGAAAAAGAAACCGCAAAGTCTTAATTAATGTTTGACTGATGTAATAGGTTCAGAAAATATCAGCCAACTAAATTTGTGTTGCCTTGGAAATTTTTCTTCTTCTCAGACTAAAGCAAAAAGGAAAATCTCTTAGGGGTCAAGGGTGTTGATAAATCAACAGATAAATCAAGGATTTTATTATTTGCTTCCTCATTCAACTTCTCTTGTTGATTGATATAATGACAACAAATTTTAAAACAAGTTGCACAAAATACTTAAGTTTTTAAAACCACACACCATGAAATTTAGTGATGAAATTTATAATTTACAGGTCAGTAAGTTGCATTATTTCACTGTCATTCTTAGTGTCTCAGTGTTTATGTTGGGAGACTTAAGAGTTGATGGTAGATTACATTTACACTAGTAAATTTTTCTTTTTAGTTATCTTATTTCCTATTTTGTTCTATATAACTTTATATGTAAAAATACGGATGTGAATTTTATTATGATTTTTAAAATTGCATTTAAAAAAGCACATAAAGTCATCTTATATCTTGGACAAAAGAATTAATTAATTTTGAGTCATTAAATAACTCTGATTAAAAAAAAAATACATGAACACTAAAAAGAGTTTAGCCCTGATACACTTCCAGTCTTTACCTGTAAGAGCATCAAGTTTAACTCTTGATTCAGCTAAGAGTAAGGTGTAAGTACAAGACCATGACAGCTGCAGGAATATTTTCAATAACTAGTCTTCTTACACTATATTCAGTATAGGAAGATTCACTTCAGCTTGGTTTATTGTTCACCTTTCTTCAGCTTGAAAATTTAATATTTTCTAGTGTATTGAGGTTGTTACCGGAGACAGAATGTGTATTGTGCACACACGAGTGCAGAGATATGACTGAGCTCACAAATTAAATCTGTGAAAGAGGAAGGAGCAAATTACAGCCTGAGTGCTCTAAAAACCTACCAAGTGTACCTTGCAGTTTGAAGTAAATTCTGCAGTATGTTGGAGTGCATTTCTGTGAGGATGTAGCTGGGAGAGGAGAACTTCAACCTCTTCCCCTCATCTTTGCTGTGGTGCTTGCTGTAAATTATTTAACTGGAACTGAACGTGTAGTTTATTTCCCAGCCTACTCTCATCCTGTGCAGCAGTTACAGTAAGCCTTGACTGACAAGATGAGTAAATCAAAGCCATAGAGATTTTTCCTGCTTAAGCTGTAGTTCAGAAATAGAAACAAAACCAAGAAAAAATATTTCTTGGTAGCAGAAAAGTAAAAACACTGTACCTAGAGTATTCTAAATAAATTAAATCTATTTACTGGTGTAAATATGGGTAAGAGAGAAGTACTGAACCTGCTAAACAGACAGCTCTGTGACCTGTGGGATATAAACTGTATTAGGAAAGGTAACAAACTCTTGTGGGGCCAATTTATAAAATTTAATTTTCCTAAACTCTTTTTTCCATCATATATATGCCTATATTAATGATTTTTCTGAGAAGGAACCCTTTAATTGATGAGAGACATCACAAATGGAAATTAGCCTTACCATATTTTTGCCTGAAAAATACTTCTTTCTCTGAAATAAAATTCTACCCAAGAGATATTCAAAACTTTGTACATATTCTCCTAGTACATCTTGTTTCATTGGTTGTTGATCCATGTAAAGAAATTTTTTCTGTAGAGTTGTTCACTGCATGCTTATGCAATGCCTGATCCCAAATTGATGTTTGCACATTTTTGGATGTGCATCATTGTTGATCTTGCTGGTGGTGTTTTAACCATTGGACACATGAGTAGCTGGGTTCATTTATGGTGCCTAAGGGGTGAAGCAAATCTGTGGCCCTGCCTTAGTTCCCATGTACTGAGTCCTGTTTTGGGAACACCTGCATGCTAGCTCTGCTTGCTATATCCTGTTCGATATAGGATGTCCTCCTGGACTGCAGGTTTGATGTCATCTGTGGAGAGCCTGGAAAAGGAAATGCATGAACTGAACAGGGGCTCACATACCCTCACTCTGCTAGTGAAAAACCTTTCTTGGCAAACATCCAAATGTTGGGTAATGAGTGACAAAAGGAGCTGACCAAAGCACAAAAATTTTACTTATTTTAGCCTGAATGGGGACAGGAGTCACTCTGACTGAACGTTAAGTCCAGTGCTATGAGCACAAGGAGCTGCAGTGAATGAGCATGGTCTTGGCAGTCAGCTCAGTGGTTTTATAAATGCTTGTGATGAGATCCATGAACATTTAGGAATAAGTATTCCAAGACTATTCCAAGAATAGGTATTCCCACCAAGATAGGAAAAGTTAAAAGGTAGTACTTCCATCTTCCTTGTAGTAATACTTTGTTCTTGGTAGCAAGGTGTTATAACGTTGGCTGTCACTCCATCTTCACCAAGTTCAGTTATTGCCTTTAAATATCCATATTCTACTTGTGACTGTACATTTATAGGCTTGACATCACAACATCTAGGTTAGGATAAATGAGATGCTTCATCTCAGTTGCCACTGCAAACATCACTGCTGGGAAGAGGAGTGATAGAGCACCTTGATGAAACTGGCCCAGCTCCCAGTCTCTCCTCATAAGAGAAGCTTCAGACCTCTTCTTATCTTTGTGGCCCCCAACTGAACCCCCTCCAGCAGCTCCTTGTCTTTCTTGAACTTTGGAGCCCAGAACTGAACACAATCCTCCAGAAGCACCTCACCAGGGCCAAGGTGACTGATTGATAACCAGGTTGAATAGGACTGGACCCAGTACTGATCCCTGGTGCTCCCCAGCCTCCAGCTGGATTCTTCTCTGCTGACCATAATGCTCTGAGTTCTGCCATTCAGCCAGTTCTTGATCCACCTTGACCCACTGTCCATTCCTCTAGGCCCTATTTCCAGATTTTACCTACAAGGATGATATGGAAGACAGTGTCAAAAGCCTTGCTGAAGTCAAGGTAAACAACGTTCACTGCCCCCCCTCACTGACCCATCTAGCCATGCCACTGCATAAGACAGATTGGTCAAGTGTGATTTCCCCTTGGTGAATCCATGTTGACTACTCTTGATTACCTTATCTTCTTTTACATTCAAGTTTGCAGTTCCTGGCAAAAAGCAGTGTGGAGAACATCGCTCTTGTGATTGACTATTGTGCCACAAATTACACCCCCCCGCCCCAAGGTTAAATCCAAGAGAAAAAATGAGGTAGTCTTTAGTAATTCCTTATTGTAGCATTTTTACTGGGGCAGTGGTTTGGTAGCACTTGCAAACACATATGATTTAATAGGTTATTACCTTTTAGAAATGCATAGTTTTGAAGTTATTCCATTGACTCTGATCATAAGGCCAAACTATTATTTTTCTGTCAGAAGTGTGCAGAACAACTTGCCATAGAACACAACACCAGATGTCTATTTCCAAGGAACATATAATTATATTGTTTTAAGGAAAATCCTGCTTTCAGGCACTTTTTAGACATAAGAAAGGAAAGAAGCAAAGATGCTTATCATTATTTTTTGAAGAAGCTAAGTTCTGCTATGACAACAACATTGTATTAACTGTGCACCAATTATTATTTTTTTTTATTTAGAAGAGTAAATAATAACTGGTTTATTGGTGCCCTGATATCATGCCTGACTTTGTTTTCCTATTGACTCAATTTCTTGGATAGAATAGCTTTCTTCATATTAAAAAAAAAAAAATACAACAAAAGGTGAGACTTGGATATATGGGAAAATGCCACACTACTGTTTTCATTTCATTCTTGCTCTGGAAGCCAGACGAGTACAGAACTGCACAGTGTGCAGGAGAGAGGGACTGAGGAGTGAGGGAAGGACAGATTATGGCTTTCAGAAAAGATCTAAAAGACAGATCTAACTTTCCATCTTCTCTGACCAAAAGCAGTAGACTTTTTAAAGATCTTGAGAATTGGGATGCAACTTTTCTTTTTCTGGATCATGAGGTGTAATAACCATTTAATATGTCTGTTAAATGCTTATTACTGTGGTTTTTGAAGGATTTTTTTGTGTATTTTGAAGGATTTCCAGGGTTTTTTGAAGAATTCAAATTCTTCTTGTTTAAATTCCTCTTACTGAAGCTTTTAGGTAAAATTAATAGTGATATATAATAGTACTCAGTTACTCTGAGTAGTTAATATGAGTTCTCACAGACAGCAACATGCATATAGGTTTTGCCTTGCTTTCCCCTAATTAAATAAAAGTGAAAAATATTGAGCAAGTATGCTGGTTTGGTGACTCAGTGCTCCTCCAAAATGTCAAAATCCATTTCACATTTATTAAAAATTCTTTTAGGAAGTTAAACTCATTAATGTGTTGTATTGAAAACTGCCTTTCCGTTGTATGCTTTAGGTGTAATATGACTAATTTCAAGGAGGGATATTATCTGTGTTTGTACGTGCCATTATGCAGTTTATTGCCCCGTGTTGTCATTAGTAGGTTTCATTGCTCAATTTAATTTCAATTTTCTTGGCTCATCAGTAAAGCAATAAGTAAATAATGAGTGCTGTTTCATTTTCAAATTTATCTATAAAACAGTCTGTTTACTTCTGATGGTAGATAGGTGGGTGAGTGACTTAGTTTTGTTACAGCATCATAGAATGATTTGGCTCGGATGGGACCTTTAGAGATCATCTATTCCAACTTCCCTGCCATGGACTCTTCTATGGAATAGGGTACCCTCATGCAAGCACTGAAAATCATTGCTATCCACTGTAGGCTTGGAGCTAAATGTCATCCCACCAAAAGAAATAATGCATGGATAAATCCTGCAGATAATTTCCAATAATAAGATTTACCATCTGGAGAAAAAACCCAACCTCTATCTCTCTTAATAATGGTACATTCTCAGAATCATCCTGGAGCAGAGTGACAGTATCTATAAAATCTGCATGTGACAGTGTCTGATTCAGAGCTATTACCTTTTGAACAGCTCTAATTATAGTGCTCTCCCAGGTGGGGTTTAGTCAGCAGTGCATCTAGGTTACTTTCATAAAAATGTAGATATATTTCCTTCCTTTCTCGCTCCAATCTGTTCCTTTCTTTAAATCAAAGGTAAGTTTGAGTTGGTTAATTTTCAAAGCTGCGGTTCAAAATAAGAAGATTGTAACATCTGCACAGGAAAAGTCAGCTGTCCCAGCTGTCTGAAGACTTCAGGTCAAGTTGTGGTGGGTTGATCCTGACTGGACACTTATCTGATCAAGTTGCAATTCTGGCTTAATTTAGTGTAAATCAAATGCATCACATGACTACAGATCACAGTTTTGTGACACAGATAGAAGCAGATGTGGCAGTGACTAACATTTGCTGCTTGGTAGCCTCCTTTTAACATGAAGCTCTATTTGCTATGTATGTTTGCATTGTCACTGAAGGTTAAAATACAAATTTTGAAAACTCTGCCTCTCATAGAGGTTTTGGCAGTCTCAGTAATGGGGATAGTTGAAAGATGTTACTGAAACTATGAATGATGGAATACATTTTAGTCTTTCTGGTATACTGCAATAGACAAGTGAGCCTTTCTCTTTTCCCCCCCTTTATTCTAAATTAACATCTAATCCCACATGGAAGAAAGCACTGCTTTCCATGCAGCCTGCTGAGCATAATTTCATAATGAGGTTTCATCACAGTGGATATTACTATATCAGTCTATAACATTTTTCCACTATTCCCTCCATTAGACTCACTGGCCTATATTTTCTGAAATGTCTGGGGACATGAATAGTCTCAGTTTTCGGGTAAGATTTGAGGTCCATTGAGTAGACTTGATTTTTCAAAAGGCCAATTCTTTTGACTTATATAATAAGGACTTTCTCATTAAAATACCTAAGAAATTAAGAAATACAAAATAAAAGAATTTCTAGCATAAATATAAAAATCTTTTCCCTGTTTGATTAATTTTCCATTTGCTTGTAGAGGACAGTAGAGGAGTTCTGGGTGAGAATAGTCTGGTGTGGTTGGTACAGGAAATAAGGAGATAACTAGATTGTATGTTGCTTAGTTTTATTTTATTTCCTAGATCTGTGAGAACTCATAACGAGTTGCACATCCCTATAGCAGATTCTTAACATGCACATGGGCCTTTTTTCCAGCCCTGCTTCTCCACTTTTTTACTGGAGAGAGGTACACAGTCTTGGCTTTTGAATACTCAGGATAGGTTTTTAAGAACAGTTTAGAGGCAGTTTCCTTGGTGCCTTTAAAAAGTGAAGTGGGGCTTGTTAATCAGTATTTTATATTTTGTTCCAGGTGGGTAAACTGAGAGAAAAAATCCAAGAGGTTAAGCAAGAAAGGGAGCAGGAGCAGCATAAGCACACTGCCTATGTTTCTGAACTGAAAGCCAAGCTCCACGAGGAGAAAATGAAGGAACTTCAGAGTGTCAGAGAGCTACTGATCCGGCAGCATGAGCAGGAGGTGGCAAGGATGGTGAAAATCAAAGATGGTGAAATTCAGCGTTTGCAGTCAACAGTCAACGTCCTGCGGGACGGGGCGGCTGACAAGGTGAAGACGGCGCTGCTGAGCGAGGCCAAGGAGGAGGCTCGCAAGGCGTTCGATGGGGAACGGATGAAGCTGCAACAAGAGATCCTGGAGCTGAAATCTGGCAAAAAGCAGCTTGAGGAAGCTCTGAACAACATTATGCAGGCAGATAAAATGAAGGCGGCGGACCTGCGCACGGCTTATCAGTCCCACCAGGATGAGATCAATAGAATAAAGCGGGAGTGCGAGAGGGAGATCCGCAGGCTGGTAAGTTCACTAAGTAATGCTGCTTATTTCAGTTTATAGCAGGTATTGATACTTTGCTGTGAGTGCCCATAGATATCAAAGCAACTTTGGCAGTCATGCCTTCCATCAGTGCTGATTGCTACAACAGGCCACTGCTTCCACTGCTTTTTCCTTACTGCAAAGGTGAACAAACTTGGCTCCACAGCCTGTCCAACACAGTCCAAGTCCCACCAAATAGAATACAAGTCAACCAAGACTTTCCAGAATGAATTTTCTCAACAGATCACAGAAAAAGACTTTCCCCTTCCTAGCTGCACAACTATAGTCCTGGTGACCAAAACAAGTCAGGGATTGTTCACTGGACAATGCAAGAATGCCTTGTGAGATGGCAACATTAAATTCACATATACTTTTTATATTTAAATTGGAGGAACCAGTTGTGCTAAAACAAGTCAGTCTCTGATTCTTCTGCATCTTGATCCAGGTTATTCAATTTAAAGCACTGTTGCCCTTTCAGAATTTCTGTGTTTTTTCTATAGCAGCAGAAAAGTTAGGGCCTAGGACAGCAGGCTTTTTTCATGCTTCATAAACCCTAGGACTTCAGCACAGATGGCAGACTATGCTGTTTGTATAAAACCAAAATCCAGGAGGCATTTCCTGACAGTGGGTGCCCCAAATTACTCAGCTTTGTAACATGTAAAGAATCTAAGATGGGCTGTACACAGTAATACATTTTAGAGAGGTCTTAATCAAATGACACTTCTGTGTGGTAACATGATATTTTCTATATGCATGTATATATTTAATTGTTTATCTGCACAAACTAGCAGTATGATAGCTATGCAAATAAAAATTAAAAATATAATAAACATTGTATTTATGTTATGTCAAGTAGTACAGACTTGTAATAGAATGAAACATCAGTTTCCTTAGGAAAATATCTTGTCAGTTTGAATTTGCACAGGAATGACCTCTTATTTCTTGTATTCCTTAGGAAAAAATATAATGAGGACAAGCTACAAACTGTAATATCTGTTTAATGCTGCTGATTTTCTGTCTGAGACAATGAAAGCTTTTAGTGCAGTAAATGTTTATGCTTTAAATTAATTGGATGTTGATCGAGTCTCAGGGGTATAATTTTGTTCATTAATTAAGACCACTGCAAAGACTGACAATGTGGAGTTTCTGCAAACATATTTTCTTTCATATTCTATTCTGTATTAGAAATGTAAAATTCTAAAATCATGGCTGTGAAGTACAGACAATTGTAAAATGTATTAAAGAAGATAGAAGGTTGATACATTCTGGCATAAGTTTTTCTGGAAGACATTTTCTAAATTAATTTAACCTCCTCCAAGAAGGGTTTCAAAGGAAATACTTAACTCTTCACTTTCAAGAGTAGAGGTTTTCAGCCTGCTGTTGTGCAAAGGTGATTGAGAAGAGCACTCTGTTTTCTGTCTGGCACAAAAAAAATTGTGAAGTCATTCAAAATTTTAATTGTAGCCTTTCTGGGCCTGAGTTACTCAGTACATCTAAAAAGGTGAATATATTGGGAGAGTATGTAGGCAATGCTCTTTTCCCAGCACCAGAGGAAGCTTGCCACTGGTCTCATGGGCTTTCTCAGGAAATGTTTGTATCTTCCCCCAAGAGTCGAGTGCTGCCTTCTAGTGCTTCCACTCCTTTCATATAATGAATTTAATTTTTTTCCTGAAATTCAGTGATTCATGGGGTTTTTTGAGAGAAGAGTTTCTTCTAGGAATTCTTATGAATTTAGGTAGTTGTTATTGCATAGAGCAGTCTTTAAATCCAGGGTGAGGTAAAAAATAGTTTAGGTTGTCTTGTCCTTTGAGAGAGCACATGGGGTTATAGAATCTGATCACTGGGATATTTTCCTCTCTCCCTTCCATGTAATTAGCTCAAGGGATGCTCGCCTTCAATTTGAGATTAACCCTGTCAGCTCTGGATTTGGGATTCTTTGTTGGTTTGTACCGTTCTGTGAGATGAAATGATCAGTAGGTGAAAGGCAGTGTTATTATATTGGCACAGTTCTGTAACTGAGTTTCAATTAATATGCTCTTTTGTATGTGTGCAGTGTTTTGTAGCACTGTTAAGAAACCACCATCTTTGGGATTAACAACCTAAATGGGCTGGCCATACTGTAATTCAAATTTAGATAGAGTAATTCAGGATGCAGTTTGATTATCTTGTCAGACTTGGCTGTTTTATTTTGCATTTCAGATCACAGATTACCTTTGTGCATGTTTTTCATATAGATACTGCAGCTAGAAAAAAATCTCTATTTTGCCATTAACTTTAACACCCATGATTAATCTGACTACAATCTTAAAATTCTTGGCTGTTATTAAAAGTAAGTTATGAGAAAGAAAAAAAGCAAAATCCATTGTCAATAGGTATACAGATACAATTATAATGACCATATTTTTAAAAATATAATTAATCAGTTTGGGGATCATTTTTTAAGTGAGCCATACCCAAAAATCCTCAACAGAAACAAGACTGGATGGCTAAGGCCCTGGTGCTTAATAAGAGAAAGTAAAATACATATTTGGCAAAACATATAACACATTTTTTCTATGTGCAGTAAGAAACTATCTTGGAATTTTTTGGTTCCTGTAATTGAAAATGTAACAATGATACAAATGTTTCCTTTGTTTAAGGAATGCTAATTGCTGTGGATTTTATTCCCCCACCCTCCAAGAAAATACATCCTTGTATATATGCATCAGCACAATGTGCTAGCAGCTATGAAACCAGAAGTAAAAATAGCTAGTAACAAACTGGAGGGGCAAATGAAACAGATGCCTTGAAAGTGAAGAGGCACCTTGGAGAATAAGATAAGAAAAAAAAAGCAGTTATTATTTATTTTGTTCAGCCCACATTTTCTGAGTAGTTTAGTCTGAACAGTTGTATTGTTCCACAGAATGAAAACTGTACAATTGTAGACAAAATAGCAATTTCAGCCAATTTCTCTTAGGCCTTGATTAAGCTTGCCATTTAACTGACTTACTTGGCTTGATAATCAGGTTTTAAGTTAGTTCTCAGAGGTAGGTAAAGTTGCTCTCTTGCCTGACAATCCTGAAATAACCTGCTGGGGTTGTTGGTGACCCTTGGAAACAGCCCAGCCTTACTCTGTTGCCAGCACAGGTGGGAAGGAGGCCATGCCTATTGACTCTAACATGTTATTTAGAGGTTAAATTCATTCTGCGACCACTTGGACACTGTTTTTAAGAGGCCCTTACATTGCAAGGCACATTCTCTAACTAATGTTTTTGCAAGGGCAAGATTAATGGACACTTTGTAGTGCTTGCCTTGGAAAATATATGCAAAAGCCCAGTCATTAAAAGGATATTGAATTATTGCATCACTGATCTACTAATTTTTAATATTGGTTGAATAAGAAAAAACCTGAATGCTTGTTTTGTGAACACTTTTTAAAATATTTAAACTTTGGAACAAGCAAATGACACTTGCACCCTGCATTTTGCGGTGCATGTCTTAGTAAACACTATTTCTTTCATTGGAAATGTCTTTAACACCAAGCCTTTTACTTATTTTCCAGCTAAATACCATTCTACCCTATTAAAATCTGTACACATTCGGTCTTCCTAAATATTCTTTAACAGCTTGGATTGAAATGAACTGAAAGACTTCAATATAAAATAGACTCAATTTTCTTAACCACAAAATAATTAAGATTCCACTGATTGTATTAGATGCACAGTAAGGTTCCTGTCTAAGAGGGCACACAATACACCAAATGAATTTTATTTGCATATTTCAATTGTACTTTCAAGTAGCCTTATAAAAATTGTCCAAAGAGCAATGTGACAGTACTGCAGATTCGTACTTGCAAGGCAAAAATTCCTTTTGCTGCTAAGAGCATCAACGTAAAAGAAATTGTTTTCAAGGGGTGATTTTTAGAAGTTCCTGACCAGCAGTGATTTATGGAGAAAAATGCACTATTTAAGTGTCTTTAATCTCCTTAGTCCAAATTATATTGCTGCATAAATAAAAAACTTCTTCCAGTGTAAAACATTTCCTTCTGTCTGTTGTTTCCCAAATAAATATAATGCAGGGCATGAAATAATATAATTCAAACTAATAGATTAAGCAGTTTTTAAAGGTAGAAGTCCAGACATTTTCACTAAAACTTCTCTTCAAGAGAAAAAACATGTTGTGGAATAAGCTCATGTATCATTTGTATTGTTTTTTTAAAACTGATATTTCAGGTTTTGTGTCTGTGTGTCATAGAGCATCTCACATTCTAAGGGAAGGCTTCTGAAAAGTTTTTTTCAGAATTAGGAATTAGGTTGCTCCACTTTAGGACAGCCCAAAATTTCACATTCTTCACAAATTCATATTTTCTAACCTTGCACAGCTCTTAATATGGTTATATGTCTATCTGTCCTTAGTGAGGATTATACTCAAACTAATAAGGTGTCTATGTCTTTAGTATGATATAGCATTGGGAGTATAATACAATAATGGAAATTTAGATGGTGAGGGTGCTCTCAAGGTCAGCTGGTCCCGTGTCCAGCTTGAAGCAGCGCTGCTTTGAAGGTTGGGTCAGGTTGCTTTGGACCTCCTCCAGTCCAGCTTGAAAACCTCCCAAGATGGAGTTCAGCAGTGGCAGCCTGCCCTAAAGCCCAGTCACTGTGAGATTTCTTTCTTGTCCTTCTCCTTTGGATTGTCATACTGTCCTTTTGCTGTGTGTCTTGGAGAAGCATGGGCTTTGTTCATGGCTGTATTCCCCTTTGGATGGCTCAATGGATATCGTGACGCATCCTGCCTGCTTCCTTGGGCTGGCTGAGCGAGCCTGGCGCCTTACCATCCCCTCAATGCTGGATGCTGCAGCCCCACAGTGGTCATACTGGCCTTCCCCCAGTTATATGGCACTTAGGCCAGTTTCTTTTTTGTGCTGGGGAGCCCAGAAGTGGCTCTGGTGCTCCTGGTGTATTTTCCCATATGCTTAATAAAAGGCTAAATCTCTTTTGGTACAT